TATTGTCATGAGTGTCGTGGCCAGGAGGAACACTGTCTCGACGTCCGGCTGAAGCACTCAAGTCATACAGTATAGCCTTCGACAAGGAACACCACGCATTACTTTAAACTGTGTAACTGAAGAGTGTAACCCTAAACTGAATTTTGTATTATGTAGTCTGGGTTGTCATTAGATTATGTGACATGGTGTAAATGTAACTTTTCAAATGCTTTACATTTTAATGTGTTACTTTGGAGTAATGGTGTGCTGCCTCAACCACAAACACATACATTTTAACCTCTGGGGACTTCCTGGTTAAATTCAACATTTAAATAACGTATGGTACAAAAGCCCAGACCAGAACCCTGTACATTCCCCCCTATGAAGTGTCTTCCTAATATCAATATTTTCCTCAAACATCAGCCTTAAAATCTGTTATACTTTGTTGACATGCTATTATACCTGTCATTCAACTTTATTCTGAAATAAAGCATCCTATTGTCATGAGTGTGTTGGCCAGGGGGAACACTGTCTCTACGTCCGGCTCGAGTCATAGTGAATTGACAGATGATGATATGTCAATCAACAGGATTTTCATACATTTGCAACCAAAAATATTTCGAGACAGGGGGGGATTTCAATTACAAAAGCTGTTTCTGTGTGTAACAATTCAGGCCAAATCTGAAATTGGTTATTGTTATTACATTAGATTCATATATTTGACCCCATGGCATTGTGGGATACATTCCCAAATAAACAAGGTTGTTATGTTAAACCTGAAGGATATATAATAAGTCAACTGGTACCAATTACTTTTTTGTTTACTGGAGAATGAATGCTAAAACCCACACAATTATTGAGCGGTGTTTGTTCTGTGTTTAGCCCCAGGTTTCTTTTTTTGGACAGCTTGCTTAGAGCTGCTATATTTAGTTTTACAACACTGCACATGCTGAAAGTCCCAATACAAAATAAATAAAGCACTGACTTCCCCTCAAGAACATACAAGCCAGGATTTCAATTAGAAAAGCTGATATGTTGGTATGTTTAATGACGTCAATAAACCTACGTGTTCAAGTTTCAAGAAAATAAATGTTGTCGTTTTTTCCTAACACTTAAAGTGCAAGTGGACCGTACTTCCCGTCCATCAATGAAGCTTTCTCCTCAAGCTAATGTGATCCTAGCCGAGTCGTGATGCACAACCTCTTTCCTCTGAGGATGACTCAGCTCTTTACACCGCGGGCCAGATCTCACCTGAACGGTTTGCACGGTGTAGATCTTCTTCAGATTGGATTCACATTGAGCAGCCGTCGCGCCCGGTAATGACCTGAGAGAACAAGTGGAAACGGTTTTAGACCATGGAGAGGATTCACTGATTTATCAAGGAAAAAGGAACCAGCTGATAACACAACATGCCGGATGTTTTTTGGTCAGATGATTGATGTTATCTATGTGTGTCAACTAGAGGGTTCAGTTTAGTTTTAGTGATCATCTCCATGGAGTATATTTACATGCCTCTATAGGCTGTACGGTGCATATGGAGATCATAAAAACAACATGTTCTTCCCATTCTAAAAGCTACCCCAAAGGCCCCTGAACGTCAGCTTTTTAGAGCAAAAGGATCCACATTTTTACCTTCAATTTTCTCATTTTGACACAAGCCAAACATCTTGATTACAGAATCTAAGTTCCTATCCTAATATAGTATTTGATCAACAAACAAAAAAATAAATAAAGCATCCTTGGCCAGTGTGTCTTGGCCAGGGGGAACACTGTCTCTACGTCCGGCTCGAGTCTTTAACAACGAATGTATTACTACATTTGTCCACATAACACTTGTTGTATTTGTTTTCTTTAGTTATCATTTATCATACCAGCAAAGCTGCAACACTTGAAGACCACAGCACACCTGCAACCACAACATCTGTTTCCGTTTTAAAAGAAAAGTTAATCTGGAGCTCAGTTTCAAAAGGGGGGCCTGAGGGGATAGACATTTTAAATTAGATTAGATCCCACTTTGGGGCAGGTTTTCGTCACAGCAGCATGTGAACAAAGCATTGCATAGGAAGTACAAATTAGAAAAACAAACATAAACAGTGAATATGTACTTATCAATAGTAGAATGCACAAAACTGTAATAAATATACATATTTAAAGTGAATGATATATGCTTATATCTATAGTGTATCTGATCGAATCTACAATATAAATATATATAATTGACGTTGTTCTACACACAATGATAGGTCCAGCTAGAACTAACATGTGAACACTATTAAATTAAGTGTGCTAAGTAATTGCAGATTTTACAAGGTACAGAGTGAGTTTGGGAATTGCACTATTCACACATTTTGTATAACCTTTGCCTCCCTGTATACCTTCTAGATCTGCACCGCGTACTTTGTAAGCATCAAGGAAATGGGCCACCTTTTCTTCATTTTCTAGGAGTGAGGCATCCTCTCATTACACTACCTTCGGTCCCTCGACTCTTGTTGCCTGTTTCAGAGCACTCCGGTGAAAGTGCTTTGCAAGCTCCAACAAGACAGCAGTTATTTGGGCATTGAAGCACTCAGGTAACAAGATGTGAGTTTTTAAAGCTTCAGCAATCTAAATATCATCTGGCTGGATATGTATTGTCAATGCACTGCACCACCAAACACTTTGTTTAACTTAACCACACTATAACATAACAATTATGGTTTCACAAGCAGGACATTATCTTATTTAGTCCACTTTTAACCATCAATACTGCTACACCAAGAGCCCTATAAGTATAACATGTGTTAGGATAGAGATTATGACTTACCCTGTTAGAAATGTACAGTAATAAAGCTATTTGAATTACTTATTTAAAGTATTATTCAATACAAAGTGTTTCTTGGTATCAGACTTGGGCTGAGTATGGCTTGACCAGTGTGCCTAATGGTTAGTTGTAGACAAAGACTATATTTTCCTGTAAGACAATATTGAGGGCTTAAGTATTACATGAAAAATGCAGAAATCCTTATGGAAAATCCTGAAAACATCCAATTAAACCAGACAATACATTAATGCAACACTGTCAAACTGTTCTTAAATATAACTGGAATTAAGATTGTAGCAGAGAAACAGAATGAACTATTTATTCTATATTTAATATTTGTATCCAAAGTGACGTAACTTACCAACATTTTGATTAGCAACTGTATTCAGCTACATATTTTACAATAATAATAAAAAACAATAACAATAACATTTATTTGTAAACACATCCAGCTTGAGTCTACACTCGCCCATTTGATAGTTGGACCCACTGGTTCATGCAATGGTGTTACTCGGGTTTCGTATCAGTATGAACATCCTTTTTCCATTATTCATCTGGACTTCATTAGATCAGCTCTCCAGTGTGGTCACGGGATCATAAATCAAAACCTGACTAGGAATGGAAAGTGTTTCTAGGCATCAGACTGAGCCGAGTATGGCGTGACCAATGTGGCTTCTGGTCAGCTATAGACAAAGCCAATATGTCCCTGTAAGACAGACTGAGCTGAGTATTGCGTGACCAATGTGGCTTCTGGTCAGCTGTAGACAAAGCCAATATGTCCCTGTAAGACAGCACTGAGGGCTTAATATCAGCTTTATCATGTGCTCCTGCTGCTCCTCGCCAGCAGGGGGAGCTGGAGACTCACTGCAGGTGCAGTTCTCTGTCACATGATGGCAACTGAGGTTCAAAGTACACAAGTTCTGCTGAGACCACCAATTCATTATTAACCTATAAACATATTTTAGATATTTGGTTTTCTTTATCCTTGAAAGTCATATGTAGTAAGGCCAAGGAAAGAAGAAGAGACAGAAAGAGTTGTTTTCTCTTCTGAAAATGCAATTACTCTATTTGGTCTGTTTTTAAGTACGCTTGACAAATCCTGTTCAATTTCTTTAAAAGGCATCAAATAAAGCATTCTACGTCAGAGTTCATTTTCTTCTGCTCTTCTGTCTTCTGAGACACCCCCGCTCGGTTATACCACTATTTACCTTATTTGAACCCACAGTGTTCACTCTGTGTTTTTCTTTGGTCATTTCATGTGTCTTTGGAGTTGTTCAATGTCACTTTGTGGTCATTGTGTGTCTCTTAGTTGTTGTTGTTGTTGTTGTTGTTGTTGTTGTTGTTGTTGGTCTCCTTGTGGGCTTTGAATTTGTTTTTCTGTTAATCTTGTGTCCTTTTTTAGTTGTTCTGTGTCAAAATGTAGTAATTTTGTGTGACTTTTTATTGTTTTGTGTCTCTTGGTAGTTATTTTGTGTCAGTTTGTAGTTGTTTTTGTTTTACTGTGATCATATTGTGTCTTTATCTTTGTATCACTTTGTCATTGTTTTGGTCTCTTTGTGTTTTTTTCTCTTTGAGTTATGCCTATATTTTCTAAGTTTTATTAAATAGATGTTCACATAGTGGTTCAAAATCACGAGCTTATTGTGTTTCATGTTTTCTATTAATAATTAACATTGACATTCATGAACAATAAAGTGACTCTTACTCCTTAAACTTCAATACAATAAAATATAAAACTATATTTCATAGTATTTCCCTAGCTGGTAGCCTATGATCAGATGTTTTGCCACGAAATCTGTCCACCTGTGCATGGAGACAGATTTCCTATAGATTGCATTAGATGAGCCTCTTGGCTGATCCCAGACCTGCTCACTACATGCAGGAAGCAGACGTGCGTCGCTTACAGTCTGCAGACGCTGACAGAGATCCAGCGATGGACCCACACAGACGCTCCCAATCCTGCGAGCCTCGGATCAACTATATTCCTACTAACACGTTTGTTTTCCTAGGCTATATTTAACTCCTATCCTCCCTGCCTTTTAATGAGGCTTAGGATGCGTAATTGCGCCATGCTTCCGCTCAACACTGTCTGCTTTTTTATTCCCGGAGCCGAAAGGCAGCCCTCTGCTATGAGGAGGCTGGGATGTGTTTTGTGAGCCGCTTGTCTGCTGAGCCTTGCGAGATGGTGTATAAAAACAAAACTAACCCGAGCTGCCTTTACTCAGCAGGGACTGGACCCACAGACAGGGACGCGTTATGTGCCGGACACTTGTGAGATGAAGGACAAGAAGAAGAAGAAAAAGAAATATTAGATGTTTTGTTTTTTGGAAGTGGGATGATCGGGTTGGATGTTTATTTTGTTCATCATTTGCTGGATACTAACACTGAAGTGATGTGGGAATAATGTGCGAATACCCGACTTCGATGGCGAACACAAGCGAGTTGGGAGAGAGCAGCAGTCCGTCCTTCCACAACTATGCGTCCGCGGCCTCTGCGGTCAAGTTGGCCTCCCTGGGTCTGATCATGGGCATCAGCCTGCTGGGCAACGCGTCGCTGTCCCTGCTGCTGCTGAAGGACAGCTCCCTGCACAAGGCGCCCTACTTCTTCCTGCTGGACCTGTGCCTGGCGGACGTGGTGCGCTCCGCCGTCTGCTTCCCCTTCGTCATGGCATCTATCAGCGGCGGGTCAGCCTGGCCGTACAGCACGCTCTGCTGCAAACTGGTCGCCTTTATGTCGGTGCTTTTCTGCTTCCACGTCGCCTTCCTGCTGTTCTGCGTCAGCGTCACCCGCTACATGGCGATCGCCCACCATCGCTTCTACTACAAGCGGATGAATGTGTGTACGTGCGCGGCGGTGATCTGCATGGTGTGGACGCTCTCTGTGGCCATGGCGTTCCCCCCGGTGTTCGACGTGGGCACCTACAAGTTCATCCGTGAGGAGGAGCAGTGCACCTTCGAGCACCGCTACTTGAAGGCTAACGACACGCTGGGCTTCATGCTCATGCTGGCGGTCATCGTGGGCACGACGCATGTGGTGTACGTGAAGATGCTGTGCTTCGTGTACGATCACCGGAAAATGAAGCCGGCTCAGTTGGTGCCAGCTATCAGCCAGAATTGGACCTTCCACGGACCGGGGGCCACCGGGCAGGCTGCCGCTAATTGGATAGCCGGATTCGGACGAGGACCAACCCCGCCGACCTTAGTGGGGATCAGGCAAGCCTCTCACCCCGGAAACAGGAGGCTTCTGGTGCTGGATGAGTTTAAAATGGAGAAACGGATCGGGAAGATGTACTACATAATCAGCCTGACCTTCCTCATTCTGTGGGCTCCTTATATAAGCGCCTGTTACCTGAGAATATTTGTGCGCGGAGCTCCGGTGCCGCAGCTCTACCTGAGCGCTGCGGTGTGGATGAGCTTCGCCCAGGCGGGGGCCAACCCCATCATCAGCTTCCTGTTCAACAAGGAGCTCCGGCTGCGCCTCAGAGCCTGTTTCCCCTCCTGCCTGGGAACACAGACTCCCATGGAGCCATACTGTGTCACATGAGGCCCCAAAATACTGCCAAAGACACATGTTGTTTCAGAATGTACGCAGACTGCTCCCCAAATGTGTTTGTACACACACATACATAGGGATGATGTGGAGGGTGAACCCACTTCTCATTGCTTCTAATATTTATTTAATTGCTTTTTTTGTTCATGGCAAATATAAAATTTGCTTTTTTAATCTGACAAAAACTTGAATGTGATATAAAGTAAAGCTACAAAAGGCATATGATTTGATGGTTTTTCAAAACAATCCCCTTTGCCATTTGTTTTATTTGCTTCACAGTAGGGGAGAGCGGGGTCAGTTGGGACACTTATGTATCTACACGAAATAACTTTGATTTCATACATTACTTCGACAATAATGACAATATTTGAATGCCTAAACAGATATTGGTGCCTGCTGACAATCAAACACGTGTTTTAATGCCGAACCAAACATGAAAGGCACACATTTGTAAAAGGTTACCTTGTTTAGGGCAAAACAATTGAAAAATACAAATGTGCAGTCTTAATTTGAACACCATAGTTCATATTTATAATATAACTTGCTTTAAAACTTCTGGGGAAAAATAAAAAATGTTAACGGTTTCTACTGCCACTTGAGTAAACATTGTGTCAGTGACGTAACATTATGGTCTCCTTATGTCATGTCTTTTTTGTTATTAAAAACAAACTATAAACAATACAGTCCCAATTAAACTCGGGGACATGTCTCCACGATCCCTGAGAGAGCAGACACACTTTGGCTTCTTGTTCTGCACAACTGCAGCAACACTAACCTCAACCAACAGTCTAGAAAATGTTATGTTTACGGCATTACTAAAAACTGTATATAAGAGGAACAATTACTTAACAGCTGAAATGGGCTTTTATAAGCTGCAATTTATGAAACTGTCTTTAAAATGTGAGGACATAGACTTAAATGCTCAAATTAATGATGCATTCACACCAGACGCAAAGCAAAGATTTACCAACCATAACTCGCACAAGTTTTACTGCGGCATCATTTTTGTTTACTCCGCAATATCAGAATGAGGCCGAAGTAACTACACACTTAAACAAATTAGTTATTAAACCATGAATTAATGCTTTGGCAAGTGTATCTGAAGACGGCAGGCAAAAAACATTTGAAGTGCTACGCTAATCAGGCTATGCTAAGCTAACGATGTTGCTCCTCCATCCATACTCAACATAACGTCATATAGACATAAAGTGAATACAGGCGGAGATCCTTACTGCTGATTGGCTTGCGTGAGACAGCGTCACGCAAATGACTTGCTCAAGTTGAAAAAATTGAACTCTTGCAAATCTGCTTCTATCCGCGTTTTATCATTTACTTTACATGTAATCCTGCCATGTGAAAAATCCACTTTACATCCAGTGTGAATAACGCACCATAAAAAGGGTGTCTGAGCATTGTGAAGAGCAGAGATCCTTTTTGAGGAAAAGTACCAACTGACCCCGCTCTCCCCTGCTGTACATGACACTTATTCCAAATAGGGTATAAGACATGTAGCTACTGTGTCATGTTATGTCCTATTTTTGGGGATTATTTTTCATGTCCTATTCAGTATATCAACTTTTTCGGTCCACAACAATATTGTACATGAATGTTACTTTGGCTATTAGTTTGTATATTTTCAAATTGTATCCCGGCACACTCGTTTGAGGTCGTTTGCCTTTTGATGACTGAAACACAACAGAGCTATTTTATCAGCTGATCAGAGATAGTTTCTCTGTGACACACTGGCTTTCTAGTTGTTTGGATACCACAAATGAGACACAGATCTCAGTCTATTTTTAACGAGGACAGCCAGGGTCCCATTTGTAAATACTGTATAGCCTCTTTTCCTTCATTCTTTCTGCTTTTTTTTTTACCAGATAAGTGGTATATTTGATAATCCATTTGGACTCTTTGTGTTTAAAAAGGTGTTAAAACTCACTTTAAAAAAGGTATTTTGCTAATTCTTCTTCTTCATGGGTCAGTTCTGTTGGGTTATCCTTGAATTATATTATTTTCTACAGATATGGACATAAACATGTTAACAATTTGGTGCTTTGGAAAAGATGTTTGCATTGTTTGTATTTCTCAGCAAATAAATAAGAAATGAAGATATGTTTTTTGGGCTTGTTAATCAGTTTTTAATAAGATGTCTCTTATTGCTCACCAGCTCTAATCCCTCTGTCTTGTCAGTGGTTTCCAATGTTTTCTGTTTCCTGACAGCTCCCATGAGAACAGGTGTGATATTGTTGCACTGGTTTTAAAAAGGAGAGGGTGATAGACATTTTTATCGATTTTCTTGTTGAGGAAAATATTAAGTTCACCTGAGGTTTGAAAAAGTGCTGCTCAAATCAATACAGACATTGTTGTCTTTGTTTTTCTGGATTTTCTCTTACCAGGGCAAACTTAGGTCCTGTCCTTGGTCTTTATCCTGAGGCTTTAGAGGTTGTAACAGGGCACAAGAGCAATTTAGAGTTGCAGTTCCATAAAGTTGAGGGACTAACGAGAGGCAGCTTCCTTCATTTGTTTTCATCAAGCCACTTAGACACCTTTAACAGACTTTTCTAACGCGTTATCGTTCAATTTTGTTCTACTCACTGTTGAGATGACTTGTTTGGCTTCTCAAATAAAATCCAATTCACACACACTCAACAAAAAAAAAGGCAAAAATATAAAATTATAAACAATCTAAAATTATGCATAGCTCTAAACGGTGTGTGGAAAAAATCTAATAGCAACAGTTTTTTGTTTTTTTACCAATATTGTGATTCTTAATGTGATATTCCTTGTTTGAAGATCTTTTATTCAAACCTTTTTTTCCCATAATTGATTGTACAGCCACGTGCCAAGGTATAGAAAAAGGAGGGGGTTGGATTCAAACCCAGGGCCATTGCCATAAAGAACACATTAGACTAACTTGTAACTTCTTGCACTGGGCTACACACATTTTTAAACAATGTTATATTGAATTGCGCCTAAGCCTGGCCATTGAGCATCAAAACTTGCCATTTCCTTTGTTTACTTCATACGTATGTTCTTGTATGCAGCGTTGCTGATTCAGATATTGGGTTTCTATTACATTGCAAAGCTGATTTGAATGCGAGGAATGGTTCAGCCCCACTTTCATAAGACATTCTCAACGTGTGGCTAGAACCAAACAACAAAATGTGACCAGAAACACAAAGAAAACCACTTGTACCTTTTTAAAGTTAAGAGTTAAAGTTCTGATTTTCACCTCCTAACAAAGCACCAACTAAAGGTTTCATTTCATTTGTTTCAATTACTTGTTTCTGTGGCGACTGTTTTAATCAAACTTCCTCAAACCCCAATCCTCTCCTCCCTCCTTAAACCTGTAGCTATTGATTCAGCTAATTGCGGCTGCATTAATTGACATTTGCATCATTTACACCAAACCACAGCTTTAAAAGGCAGAGCAGTGCACACTAATCACTGTGATGTAGTGAGGTGTTTCTCTCTGATCTGCCGTCCAACGCCCAGATCCTCAACACTTAACATCACAACGCTCTGCTGTCGGCGTGGAGAGGTCTCACGGTATAATTGTCCCTCACCTGCATGTTCTCTCATGCGATGCTAATGCAGCTCGGGTATTTTTGGATCATCATCTTGTTTTCAGGGCACGAGGCTCCGTTGGCTAAATGTCATTTTTACCATGGATTTTACTGCTGGCTGTTTTTATTGACCTTTTGGGTCTTTCTAACCGCTCAGTAATTACACTGACCTCTGTACTTCCCATTGGGTTTTCCTAAAATACAATTTGTACAATTGAAAATGTAGTTTTTTTGGGAAACAATATCACCTGATGAGGTTAGGAAATGTTGTGTGTCCCAAGTTATTCAAGGCATTCTTTTGGCAGGAATTGACGCTTACTTAGTCTACTTGGTATTTTGCCTCGCTATATATTATTGTCCGCTTCCTTTTGAATGCTTGCTCTAAAGTCAGGGCTTCCATAGAAGCTCACCAAAAACTCTGCTACTACAGATTACTATGACACAGTCTAATGGTTGAAAAGGAAGAACTCTATAGAAATAAACAGAGGCACTGTTCCTGAAGCTTGAAAAGTGCAAGTTCTGAGTGTTTTAGAAGCATTCGGACGCTAAATTAGTCAGAGAAATATTTCCCTTTGAGCCTCATACTTTCGTTTTTGGATCATCAGTCACTGTGTCACACATAGCAAAACATTTATTTTCAATTGTGTAACAAAAATAGAACGAGCTGAGGTTATAGAGTGGTGAAGTAATCAGTCCTAAAACCCGGAAATTACATTTTACCATTTATGGTACCCTCGTTTTTTAACGTGTGTGGTGAGAGTCCTGAATAAGGTCTGTTTAACACAAGCTGAAGAGATCGTCACGTTTTGTTCCACAACACACAACTAAATACTTCCCTTGTGAATGTCCAAAGCTTTTATGCGTAAATCTGCGATTGCTAACAAGTGACTAAATTAAAGGTCACCTATTATGCAAAATAACTCCTGTCTCTTCTACATCAACATGTGTCCCCTCTGTGTAAAGAGATTCTGAACATTTCAGGAAAAAAGATTCTCTCACTTTTTGTCCTGATCCGTTTGTATAAAAACCTGTCTGAAAATGAGCTGATCAGATTTTGACCACCTTATGATGTCATAAACAAATGTTTTGTCTTCGAGCCAAACACTTCAGAGACATGTTTTGTATATATCTGAGACCTGTGATATATTGATGAAAAACAGTATATTAGGGCAGGGGTTCCCAAAGTGGGGGTCGCGAGATGATTACAAAATAAAAATGGAAAATAAAAATAAAAAATGTATAAAAATAAATTGATTAATTTTTTATTATTATTAATAATAACGTTTGCATAGACATTTTCAGGGGCGGACTAGCCATAAAAAACACTCATGGAC